TCGAGGACTATGGGAGTGGGGAGGCTGCCAGATGGTGCTTCCCGTTAGCTGCAGTTTACCCAGAACAGTGACTCCCAGCCCGGACACTCATCCACAGCATCAGAGCGTCCTGACCACTATCAGCTGATGCTTGGTGAGAATCTTCTGCAGGGCAGTCTCTAGCTAAATCCTAAGTGGGACATGCGACGGACTCCCTGCCCTAGAAGAACTTGTCACCTAGTGAGAGAAATAAGATATGCACATAAAAATAACTGTGCTTAGGTAAGGAAGAAACTGGTAAGTGCCACTAAAACAATAAAAAGTAGGTGTGGTCTCATATAATTCTCAAAATAGAGGAGAAAAGCCCCCAAATTTCCATTGACTTCTAATTTGCAATAAATCATCACAGCTCCAAAAAAGTTCAGTAGATAATCTCATTCACTGTCATCAGAACAGTGACATCTTTCACTTAGATGAGTCATCATCCCCAGAGTTGTGTTAGCACCACCCCCAGAGGACTTAGGTTTGTCATCCTCCTGCACCAAAACAGGCTCATGCAGGGCCTGAGGCGAAGGGACTCTAGAGGTCATCTTGCCTAACCTCCTTGCAGCAGGGAGGAGTTACTCAGAGTCCAGAGATGTGAAACACCGTGTTGAAGTCACACAGCAAGGCAGGGTCGACCAGGGCTGGAGGTTAGGCTTTGAGGCCAAGCCTGGTGATTGATTCTTCTGTTTTCCCACCTAGAGGGCAAAGGACTTCCAGACTAGCAAGAGCAGGTCTGTGGGCCAGATCCCCATTAAACATGACAGTTCCTATAAGACACGGTGCCTGCCCGTGCTTAGAATTTCACCATTATTCATTGTTTTGTACTGAGATTCTCAGATAGGAGGAGCATAGTATATTCCTAATACCTAAATTCCCAGATAGCTAATCTGTAGCTCGGGCCCTCCGAGATTTTATCAGCAAAATGTTTTTCTCCTTTCTGCTGGATTTACTACTAACATGGGAGGCATTAAGCCACGAGAGTCCAGTTATCATTGTTAGAGCTGAACAAGATATATATTCTAATTTTGAGCCATGGAAATTTAACTTCACTAAATGACATTATGAAGTTGGACACTATGAAGGATTATAGACCACAATGATCAGTAAGGAGTTCAAGCCCCTCACGTGCTGACAGTCATCTGACCATGGCTTCTACCGTGGAGAAAGTAGACCACCCAGTAGAGAACAGTCCTGTCTTGAAAACAGGGCTGATGGTTGGACAGAGACCTGATAGGCCATGTCATATCATAATGACAGCTAGCTCTGATTTAAGCTTCCTGGCTGCCAAGCATTCATAAGCACTTTGCATGTGTTAATTCTGTACTAATATGGTCATCGCCTTTATAAATGAGGACATCAAGGTAAAGAGAGGGCAAGCAACTTGCCACAAGCCACATAGCTAATAAGTGGCTGAGCCAGGACTTGAACCCAGATAGGCTCCAAGTCTGTGTGCTCTGCTGTTTTTTGTGCTACCCTGTCTCACAAGGAGAAGCTTGGTAGCCCTGGGAAGCTATGTTGAGAAGGGACCCCTGCCCCACATTCCCAGCAATGGGAGCAGTCATTTTCCACTCTGTACAGTGAGCTACTGGGTGGCTGTGGGCACTCATGGACCAGGGAACTCTGCCACAGCTTTGCTTGGGCCGCAACCCTAACGAGAAGCCCTCATTCTACCTAGTACCCTGCAGTCTTCCCCCAGACACCCCTGTCAAGGACTCTTCTCCTTGACAACCCAGTCTCTGTGGTTTCCCAAGGGCATAACCTGCCACAGCTGACTCCTGCCTCCTCAGGGCCTGGGGAGAAATGCTGAAGACAGTGCTACCAGATGACTCTCCCAGGCTTCTCTTCCCTGTACTTCCCAGCCCTTCCAGGTCCAGCCCCAGAGGGAGTGTCATTTCCACCAGGGGCCTCCTTGTCCTCAGGCCCCTCTTATGTCCTGTGAAGGGTCTATCCTGGAGAAAGACTGTGCCCTCTGTTACCATCATGGCATCATGGCACCTTGAGGCTGAGGCCACCATGATGTTGCTTTGGCCTCATCGTTTGTAGTCCCAGTGGGGCAGCCCCAGTTCAACCCAACATACATACATCACACACAAACTCAAAACACACACATACACCTAACACATACACCCAACACACATTCAACACACCCAACACATATACCCAACCCACCTAATTCACACACCCAACATATACATACATCCCAACACATATACCCAACACACATTCAACATACCCAACACACACACTTAACACGCCCAACACATACACCCAACCCACCTAATACACACACCCACCACAGGCATACATCCCAATACATATACCCAACACATACACACACACATCCCCAACACTAACACTCAGCATATTCAACCCAATACACACACCTACAGACTCAGCATACCCAACACATACACCCCTTTCTGTATCTGTGCTTGCCCATCCCCCACAAACCCAGCCACCAAGAAGAGCCCTAGTCCTGGAAACTCAGTATCAGGGCTTATTCACCAGGTCATGTGGAGAACATGTTTGGGGTAAGGGGTGACCACTAAGGCAGGACAGCCTAATGGAATAGGAGAGGGGTGGCAGAAAGCAGAGGAAGTGGGCCAGGAGGACAGCCCAACAGCCCAGTGCAGACTGCTGGGGCAGGTACTGTCTCCTTCCTCCAGGAGGTTCCCAAGGAGCTAAGCCAGGGGTTGGTATCTCAGAAGGAGGGCACAGAGGCGATGGAGGTGCCAGCCACAGAGCTGCCGAGCCACTGTTGTAGGGGAGGCTGGATGGCTCTCCTCCCCCAGCCCCTCTTCTCACACCTATCGCTCGGGCTTACCCTCCCTCTCAATGGTTGAGATTAAATCCCAGCCCTCAGCAGCCTCTGATGCTCAGTCTCCAGCAGGAGCCTTTATCTGAGATTAAGGATAATAGATTTCCTTTCTCGGATAAGTTTTTTTTTTTTCTTTCTCTCAGACTTTTTGTCCAAAATGCGTTCAACTCCAGAAAATAGACCTTTGATTAACAAGTCTTTTTGTTGACTGCACTCCCCTCCCCCAGTTTTGTTCCTCCTTCCCTCCCCCCCCACCACCTTTCCAGGCTTACAAGGAAACCTATTTCAAGGGGGTGGTAAGAAAGTGCAAAAGAATGACCTGCCCTTCCTCCTCTCCCTCACCTGCCTCCTCCCCTGGGCCCTCCTGTGAGTCTGCAGCAGGAGCCTGGACATCTTGAGAGATAAGACAGGAGAAACAAGTTGACTTGGTCCTTGTTTTCCTTCAGCAATTTCCACCAGCATCCTCATCTTCAGAAATCCAAATCCTGCCCCGAAGAAATGGGGAGAGGATTTGGTCGGGGGTCCCTTCTTTGATCTCAGTCTGGGTTCATTACTGCCATCTGGGGAAGGGAGACCTCCAAGCGCCATGTTTCCTGCATGGTCTTCATGGGACTCACTGGGAGGCCCTTCCCGGCTGCCAGAACCAACCCTGTGCATTTATTTCACCTGGATTTTTCTTTTTCCCCCTTCAACAGCCCTATTACCATATTTAAATGCAAGTATGTCTCTTTTTATTGACATTTTAAGTAGCTTAGCCTGACCTTTTTAGAGTAGTTTGTTCCCTTTTGAACTCCTTTCCCTTCATAGCACCGTGTAGCTAGGACAATAGTCTTAGAGTTTAGTGGGCTTCTAGTTTGTTCTGTTTGGGGAATCTCTCTCTCTCTCTCTCTCTCTCTCTCTCTCTCTCTCTCTCTCTCTCTCTCTCTTTCTCTCTCTCTCTCTCTGCATGTCTTCCTCCCTCTTGTCCTGTAGCTGTTCCTTATTTGAAAGGCTCAATGGCTAAAGGCAAGCAACCCTGTTGGGGGCTGTTTACTGAGTTTGCCACCGGCTTCTGGCACATCATTTAAAACCACAGTCATTGGAAATGGGTCTTGGGGTCAGGCTCCATGTGTCTGCCCAGATGACAGAGGGTGTTTGTCCTTATGTGTGTGGGCATGTATCTGTGTGTGTCCCAGAGCGAGGCTGTGTGTGAACATGCTAGCGGCCAAGAGAAGCCCAGGGGAGGGGACTTGGCTTCCTTCATCTGGACATTTTACACCCACATGGGGTCACCTTGACCTCTCGACTTTTATTCTCATTGCTAGGACTACAGATTTTGATAGCAGAAACCTTGATCAAGAAGAACTCTGGAAACCCCTAGGACACCCTCCAGTGCCAGCTTTCATCTAGATGCTGGGACTCAGACAGAGAAGACACATCTAAATCCCCCCAATTGCCTTAGGAAGTAGAGACACTAAGAGATATCAAACAAAGCCACGGGGCTCACCCCATGTAGATTACCACAGCCCCCCCCCCACATCTAGCTTCCTGTGTACTCTGTCACCTGGGAACCCCCTACACCCTGCCCCACCCCCACCTATAAATACTTCACCCTCGGCCCTGGGGCTGTGACACTACTGACATGGAGTTCTGACAAAGTCCAGAGTTAAGATGGCCAAGCCACCCCACAGAGCCTTGGAGAACAGCTGGAGTTAAGTCGTCTCCTGGCCAAGGTGTCTGTTGGGTCAAGAGGCCGTCCTGAGTGCCTCCTACCTGGGTGCAGAGCCGACCACTCTGCTGGGATCCCGCAAGGGGCAGTCGGCCAGTCCAGCCCTGCTACAGACAACCCTAGGGGGTCACTCTGTGTCAGTGCAAGGGCAGCAGGGTGCTCAGCCCCTGCTCTCAGGAGAAAATTCCTCCTAACACTCTTGAAATATTTTCACTTGCTCTCTGGAACCAGAGTTTTGGGGTGAAAACATGAGAATCAAGCACACCTAAAGATGCTGTGCCTTCTGGAAGCCTGAGAGCCACTGATCTGTGTCCCTCCCAAAAACTGCCCCGTGAAAACCCCTTCCCTGTCTTCTGTGTGGAGGGAGGGGCTGTGTGGCCCGTGAGCCAGGTCTGTCCCTTGTCCAGTGCCAGGATCCTCCTTGACTCCAGCTCGTCTCTCCCCCGCCAGGCTTCCCGGCAGCGGCATACGGACCAGTGGCAGCAGCGGCGGTGGCAGCAGCGAGAGGATCAGGTAGGAAGGTGTATGGGACAGGCCGCTCCCAGGCATGCCCCCAGTGTGCAGGGGAAGGTCAAGGCCCTGTCAGATCTGTGTGGCTGCATCCGTCCAACACCACTCTCACCACAGCCTGGGGCAGGGCGGGGGGCGCGGTGGACAGTGAGGCACGGGCAAGGCCCGGCCACCCAGGACTCTTGTGCCGGGTTAGTCACAGTCACAGGACTGCAAACCAAAGGCAGATGGATTATTCTCTCATGGGGGGGAGGGGGCAATAAACAAAACTAAGTTTATTTTTTACTTTGGCCACCCCTCCACCTGACAACTGGCTTCTGGGCACCTGTGGTCATTTTCCCCCTTGGCTTTTGCTAATTCCACAGGCTCCCTTCCTTGGGTCCCTGACCGAGCCAGAGAGGTGCTAGACTGTCCTCTGGGTCCCAGCTGCACTGGCAGGGGGGCTTACTGATTGGCTAAACCCCCAAACCCCTGAAAGCCAGCCACGGGACCAGCCCTTGACCTCTGTGAATGAAGCTGCGGCTTTCTGGAGCCTCTGCTGCCTCCCAGATTCTTTTTATCAAGGTTCCTGGATTCCAGCTGTCAAGGGCATCAGGTTTTCTCTCCCCTTGAGGTTGTCCCAGTCCTTGGGTCTCCAAATCTAACCTTTCAGAGATCTGGAACCCTTCAGGTGATGGGGGAATATGTTCCCAGCAGCACTGTGGGGTCAGGCCAGAGGTAGGGCACATCCCGGGTGTCCGGATTGCAGGTCCCAGGGCCTTCCCAAAAGGCTCTCTGCCTTCCTAGGCCATCAGGGCTTCTGCTGGGCACTAGGCTCCCTCCTCCTGCTCCTCCCTGAACTGAGTGGCCACGGTTTGCGGCTGTCCCTCCACCCCTCACAGACAGGGCCTGGAACATCCAGGGAAGCACTTAGTTTGATATAACAGGGCTCTGAGGAGGGGGTGGGCAGGCGGGGGTGGGGTGGGGGCGGGGCTGGTGAGGGCACCAGGAAATGGAGCATTAAAGGCCCAGAGGGCAAATGCCAAAAACCCAAACCCTGGGTGATGAGAAGCTGGCAGAGTGAGGCCCATTAGAAAACGTCAGTAAAAATCCGTTCCATGCAAACTGGCACTGCCTCGGAGCTACAAAGGATCCACTCCCCAAATACCCATTGGGGTTTTGTTTGGAGGGAGCCAGGGAGTTCTCAGGGGATTGCCTAGGGGCAGTTTGCCAGAGGACTGGCGTGTGGGCAGACTGGCAGACAGGTCAGAGAGCCGGGCGCCCTTCCTGAGCTTCTGCCCGCCCTAGCCGGTGACCAGAGGCCCCCACCTGCTCCCTGTCCCTTGGTCCCCCAGCCCTGGGCCCTGGGAGCGGGGTGCACAGTTGCCTCATGTCTCCCTGTGCCATTTGGTTTTTGAACTTGAGTGCTTTTTGGTATCATTATAAACGAGCCTCGGTCCTACCTGTGCCTGGGGTTGGGGGAAAGATAAAAAGAAAACTCTTGTGATTTTTGAGTGTTGGTTGTTGTTTTCTCCGTTGAGTTACTTTCTTTTTATAACTTGGATTATGAAACTAAACTTTAACCCGAAATTAACCCTGCCTCTCTCCCCACCCCACCCTGTTCTCCTTGACTTCATGGCAAGTTTAAAGGGCAGCATGGGGTTCTTTGTGAGTCTGAGAGCGGTCTCCCACGGTCTGTGCCCCTTCAGCCACCCTACCCTCTCACTGACCCCCAGAGCCAGGTGGGAGCCCCACCCATCCCTCTAACTCCTAACCCCCAGGGTCATCTCCAGCCACACATTTTTTTTTTCAGGATCAATGGTGTTTTATTTGTAGCCATTTTCATCGGGAGCAATGTCTCCCCCAGCCCATTCTAGGCCAGCCATGCTCATCGCTGCACTGTTAGTGAATTATATTCAGGAGTGTGCTCCCAGACCACCTGCCCACACCAGCCGGGGTTATGCAAGGAGTAAATCCTCAACTCCGAGGTGCCTACCCCTCCCCGCAGGGTGCAGGCTTGACCAGGAAGCTACAGGGCAACCCCCCAGTGCTGCCTGGGGGCCAGAGGCTTGGGTGTACCCCAGAATGATGACTAGACTGTGCCCACCAGAGTCAGAGTACCACCTGGGCTGGGAGACACCTACCAGTGTGTAGACAGGGTATCCCAGCCCCCAGCCCCACTTGGGACCTGGAGCAGGGTTACAAAGGTGAGGAAGGAAGCTTTCAACCTTTCTTTCTTTTAATGCACTTGCCAGTAAGGGGACTGTCAGCTCTAGAAAATGATCTGGACTCCAAGCCTGGCGCGATGACCAATTATTTACCTGTGAGTGGCCCTTAGGTGGCAAAGCTCTTTTCTATGAATTGAGAGGGGCCACATAGATTCACTTGGGTATATGCACTTTACCAGCTCCTGCAACCCTGCCCTGCCCATCCCAGTTCCTCCCCAGGGATAGGGATAGGGATACTCTTTCAGCCTCCTGAGCAAGCAACCTTGACTATTGGAGGTCGGCACCAACTCAACCGCATTCCCTTATAGGGAAACGCATGGTTTAGGGAGAGTCTGTTGAGTACCTAACTTGAACTTGGTACTATGATAAACCCAGCAGGTGACTCCAAACAGTGGGAAATGTGGCCTCTGCTCCCCAGGGGCTCTCAGGCTTGGTTTAGGGTTAGGCATCCTATGGAAGGCCCCTCTTTTTTGCCTTTTATTTTTGTCTAGCACCACCAATTTGGGTTTTCTTTTTTCCTTCCTTTATGACTTATTGGGGGAGCTTCCTGAGGTGGGAAGCACTTGCTGAGGGCTGTGGGGTGGGAGGAAGCTTCGTTTTTGCTCAGGGTGGCAACTCGGATCCGTCAGGGCTATGGTGTCAGGGTAGGAGGTCCAGGGGGGCCTTGAGCTCTGCGCCCACCTCAGCCAACTCCTCTGGGCCAGCCTGCCCACCTTTTCCTAACTCCCCCAGGACTTGAGGTGAGCAGGGTTCAGAGGACCCCCCCCAGGGGAGGGCCCTGTCGACTCCTAGATTACTTCACTAGCAGTGGTCACTTTTCTTTTACCTTCACCTGGTAGTTTGAAACGTCATCTTTTCTTGTGCTCAGTCGAGAGTTTGTTTGTTTATTTTGATCGTATTCATTCAGTTCCGATGGCCCCATCATGTCCCACCCAAACCTAAATCCAGTTTGGTAAATGCCTCCCCTGACAAGTGAGGGAAGTGGTTCGGATTTTCAGGGTATTTTATTTCAGGGTGACATTAAGGGTGGGTATGTGTACGAATCTTAGAGCTTCTGAGTCCCCTGGCACCACCCCAGCCCATGCCCCCACCCTGGCCCATCTCCGGCCCCAGCCAGGACCCCTTACTGTACTTTATACTTGCCAGCTTTATTCCAGTCTAGTAACATGAGCTCCGATGGTGGTGGTGAGTGTGAGCAGTCATGTTTCTGTTGTCTTTTCTCTTGCTTGGTTGGGGCTGCGGTGAGAGAGTGTCTCTGAGGCATACTTTCCTGCCTCTCTTACACTAGGATCTGCACACCTCCTCTCAAACACTCTTCTGAGCACGCTCAGCGGGAAGGTTTGTCCACACCTATTAATCCTCTCTCAGTGTCCAGCTTCCTGTTAGTACCAGCTGGTTTGCATGTTTTTGCTTGTTCAGATGAAACAGTTCAAGAAACAAACTCATATCCAACTCTCGAGAAATGTCTTTTTTTGTACACTTTCGTTTTCGATTTTTTTTGTTAGTTACGACTCCAAAACACCTGTTGTCCAGTAAAACATTTCACACCTCCCCTGCCTGTTCTTAGAGTGTATGTATCTGTGGGACTGAACTAAATGCATGCACTGTAGTAGATGTCCTGGTAGCCGTAGCTGTAGTTGTAGAACATGCATTGTTGAGTTGATATTACAGGGTCTCCGACGGCTCGGCACAGCCCAGCTGTCTGAAGGATAGTGCGGGGACCGGGAAGAGAAGGGGCTCCATATTTTCAATGTTGCCAAGGGGCTTGGATCCATGTTCTCACCATCAGCCACCACCACCTCCCCTCACACTCCCCGCTCCCCCAGTCCAGAGCTGGGTCACCACCCTCAGCTCTAGCCTTCTCCACCGAGATCTCTGTTGATCTGTCCCACTCTAGTGAAAGAGAATGGAACCAGGATTGGAGGGAGTCTTAAGGCTCTTCCTTAAAGTTCTTGTCTTTCTCACACTGTTCTTGACCAGAGCAGACCTTTTCTTATTTCATAAGGCCAACCAGCAGGATTTCTCCAAGTTCCTCTCCTCCTCAAGTCCTTTGGCAGTCACATCCAGCTCTCCAGAAGTACAGGTCCATGTGGCAGCTCTCTCTGTATGGTCTACTTTGTATGTTGGTGAAGGTGAGGTGGGATGAGAGTGGTGACAATTCTAGTAGGAAGGTGGCTGGCACAACTTCATGGGGATAGGAAGGGGGTGGGCTTGGGACATCCAAAGAGGAGCTCCCCCCATTTTCCTCCAACTCCCCAGGAAGACTTCCTAGACGGGGAGAAGAGTAGTCTTGCAGCCTGTGTGCTTGGCCCAGGGGCACACACGGTCAGTCTTCTTTGGACATGCCATCTTCCCTGCATTTGTAATGACAAGCCATAAGGGAGTGTCAGAGCTTTCGGAGATGTCCCTAATTTTTAGAAGTCGATGTCAAGTGAGATAGTACCTGCCCCCTGGAACCTGCTCAATTCGGGGTGGTTGGTGGCTCTGCCCAGTGCTGCAGGAGGACTCAGGTGGGGTCTGAACCTTCAGGGTGTAAGTTATCTATTATGGAAGACAGATGCCAGGGTACATCAGAAAGTCCATAAAGTCCCCAAATCAACGTACAGTGATAGAGCAAAAGGGTAGCTCCGTAAAAAGAATCAAGCATGCTGTGAAAGTTGGTGGCAGAGTCGGAATGAACAAGGATTGAAAGTGAGCCAGGCTAGTCTGCCACCAAACAGAATGAGGGCACCAAGATCCAGGAAGAGAAATCTGGGAGGGGACATCTTTCTGGCTTGGCTTTCATGGGGGTGAGGG